AGTATAGTATGACCTCAAAAGTTGGCTAAATTGAGTCATAGTATAGTATGACCTCAAAAGTTGGCTAAATTGAGTCATAGTATAGTATGACCTCAAAAGTTGGCTAAATTGAGTCATAGGATAGTATGACCTCAAAAGTTGGTTAAATCGAGTCATAGGATAATATGACCTCAGAAATAGGCTAAATTGAGTCATAGTATAGCATGACCTCAAAAATTTGCTAAATCGAGTCATAGTATAATATGATCTCACAAATTGGTTAAATCGAATCATAGTATAGTATGACCTCAAAAACACGCTAAATCGAGTCATAGTATAATATTCTGCCCTCACTAAACGTATGTAGTGTGTAGTTTAGCAGATAGCGAACAGACTTGACGTGAAGACAATGCTGAATGACTCATGTTTATTGCTTCAGCCAATAGTATGACCTCAAAAACACGCTAAATTGAGTCATAGTATAGTATGACCTCAAAAGTTGGCTAAATTGAGTCATAGGATAGTATGGCCTCAAAAGTTGGCTAAATCGACTCATAGGATAGTATGACCTCAAAAGTTGGTTAAATCGAGTCATAGGATAGTATGACCTCAAAAGTTGGTTAAATCGAGTCATAGGATAGTATGACCTCAAAAATAGGCTAAATCGAGTCATAGTATAGCATGTCCTCAAAAACACACTAAATCAAGTCATAGTTTAGTATGACCTCAAAAATTAGCTCAATTGAGTCATAGTATAGTATGACCTCAAAAATAGGTTAAAAGGAGGCATAGTATAGCATGACCTCAGAAGTAGGGTAAATCGAGTCATAGTATACCATGACCTCAAAAATAGGCTAAATCGAGTCATACTATCATATCACCTCAAAAATTGATTAAAACAAGTCATAGTATAGCATGTCCTCAAAAACGACCTTAATTCAGTTATAGTATAGTATGACCTCCGAAATAGGTTAAAACAAGTAATAGTATAGTATGACATTATAAATTGGTTAAAACGAGTCATAGTATAATATGACCTCATAAATTGGCTTATAGGAGTCATAGTAAGGTATGACATCTAAAAATGGCGAAAAATTTGTCATAGTTTAGTATGACCTCAGAAATAGGTTAAAACGAGTATTAGTATATATAATATAATATAATATATTTAGAAATAGGCTAAATCGAGTCATAGTATAGTATGACCTCAAAATTAGGCTAAATCGAGTCATAGTATAACATGACCTCAAAAACAAGCTAAAACCAGTCATTGTATAGCATGACCTCAAAAATAGGCTAAATCGAGTCGTAGCATAGCATGACCTCAAAAACACGCTAAATGGAGTCATAGGATAGTTTGACCTCAAAAGTTGGATAAATCGAATCATAGGATAGTATGACCACAAAAATGAGTCATAGTATAATATGACTTCAAAAATAGGCTAGACCAGTCATAGTACTGCATGATCTCATAAATAGGCTAAAATGAGTCATAGTATAGCAAATAGGCTAAATGAAGTCATAGGATAATATGACCTCAGAAGTTGGCTAAATCGACTCATAGGATAGTATGACCTCATAAATTGGCTAAAACGAGCCATAGTATAGTATAGTCTCAGACATAGGTTAAAACAGGTCATGGTAATCAGCTTTCAACCACACCTCCACGAAAGCCAATCGGCATCCAAAGCTCATCTTAAAAGGCCTCAGATATGCATGTGTCTGCTCCTGTGCGCAAGCGGCAGATGCACTGTGACTTCATTCAGATGACACCATTTCAAGCCCC